GTGTCTCTCTCTCTCCTCTCCCTTCCTCTCTGAAATCAATAAAAATATATATTAAAAAAAGAAAAAGATTGCATAGTCACACGTGTGATTGTTAAACTGGTGGGTATCTTTCCCCTGGTGTCCCACAAGAAGTTCTAAAACGTGCAACACCTGCCAAAACCGGTTTGGCTCAGTGGAGAGAGCGTCGGCCTGCGGACTGAGGGGTCCCGGGTTTGATTCTGGTCAAGGGCATGTACACTGGTTGCGGGCACCTCCCCGGTAGGGGGTGTGCAGGGGGCAGCTGGTCGGTGTTTCTCTCTCATCGATGTTTCTAGCTCTCTATCCCTCTCCTTTCCTCTCTGTAAAAAATCAATAAAATATATTTAAAACATGTAACACCTGACTCTGTAGTCAGGGGCACTAACCTTTTTCCCTCTTGGATTGTCAAGTTAGACAATGACAACAAAAAATAAATAAAATGAAATAAAAAATGACCACTGCCAACACAATAATAGCCGCCTGGTGTGAATGAATTAAAATTGCACCTATTGTTGTTGCCAGATCGGCAACAATACAATACACTTGTGGAGTGCCACAGAATTTTAGGAATTCATTTTTGTGCGACGAGATGGAGAAGGTTGAGAATCCGCAGGAGATGACATCCCTAAGCACACGCAGGCCTGGTGAGCCTCGGCCGGGATGGGTCCGTACACAGTGGGCGCTCAGTGAGCACGTACACAGTGGGTGCTCAGTAAGCACGGGTCCACTCGGCCCTCCCGCTAACCTGTTAGACTCCGGCGTGAGTCCAAGCAGACATGGCCCCTGCCCGGCCCCGCCTGGGGGACCGGCTGGGCCGCCACAGCCACGGCCACCGCAGTGCTTCCTCCGAGAGCAGCCCTCAGGGGGGAAGGAGCCTGGGAGAAACCGCTGAGTCACAGGATCCAGGGGAGCTGCCCTGACCCGGACCAAAGTGCAAAGCATTGGAAAGACACTAGCCAGGTGGGGGGGGGGGAGGAGGAAGTGGAGGAGAGGAGGAGGGGAAGAGGATGAGGAAGAGCGGGGAGGGGAGGGGAGGAGGGGGGAGGAGGAGGAGGAGGAGAAGGAGGGGGGAGGGGGGAGGAAGAGGAGGAAGGGGGAAGGGGAAGAGGAGGAGGAGGAGGAGCGGGGAGGGGAGGGGAGGAGGGGGGAGGAGGAGGAGGAGGAGAAGGAGGGGGGAGGGGGGAGGAAGAGGAGGAAGGGGAAAGGGGAGGGGAGGAAGAGAGGAGGAGGAGGAGAAGGAGGAGGAAGAGGAGGAGGAGGAGGGGGGGAGGAGGAGAGGGAGAAGAAAGGAGAAGGAGGAGGAGGGGGGAGGAGGAGGAGGAGGGGGAGGGAGGGGGAGGAGGAGGAGGAAAAGGGGAAGGAGGAGGAGGAGATGGAGGAGGAGGAGGGGAGGGGGGGAGGAGGAGGACTAGGCCCTCACAAATAAGGTGAAAAGCAAGGGAATGCAGCGTAGCCTGTGTGTTGGGGGGGAGCAGGAGGGGTGGGGCAGGGGGTGGAGGCCTGATGGCGGAGTCCCTCGGCATTAACCCTCCAGAACAGGGGTCTCCATGCAGAAACGGGGGCGTTTGGTTAGCCAGAGCCTTTCTTTGAAAGAAAAAGCCTGGCTGGTGTGGCTCAGTGGTTGGGCCTGGACCTATGAACCAGGAGATCCGGGTTCGATTCGGGGGTTAGGGCACGTGGCTGGGGAGTGGCTCGATCCCCAGCATGGGGCGTGCAGGAGGCAGCTGATCATGACTGAAGTTCCTCTCATCATTGATGTTTCTCTCTCTCTCTCCCTCTCCCTTCCTCTCTGAAATTAATAAAAACATATTTACAAAGAAGAAAGGAAGGAAGGAAAGAAGGGAGAGAGGGAGGGAGGGAGGAAAGGGGCTGGTGTCCAAGGAGAGTTTTTTGGACAAAGCACTGCTTTAAAGGCCAGGGCCTGGCTGTGGGATTCCCCCAGCGCCTGGCAGGCGGCTGCCGCACAGTAGGCCTGCAGTCAATGTGCGCATGCCTGAGGGGAGGCGGTCATTGCGATCAATGGGTTTTCCTTTTCCTTTTTCTTTTAGGGAGAGAAACATCCACTCGTTGTTCCACTTGTTTATGCGTTCATCGGGAGTCCTGTCTGTGCCCTGACCGCAGATGGAGCCACCACCCTGGCGTACTGGCACACAGGCCTGCCAACCGACTACCCGGAGCTCCGGCCGGGCCCACGGGTTTCCGTTAGAAGGGAGAGCGCAGCCCGCGGGCAGGCCTCGCTGGGCGCCCGCGAGGACTCGAGCACACAAAGGGAATAGAGGGACGGCAGTTACCTCAGCGGGGCAGGTCTCTGTGACCTGTCAGGGCGGAATGAACTGTGCCGGCTCCGCGGGCCATCAGTCCAGGTGCTGCCACTGCCCCTCAGAGGGGCCAGGGGCCCTTGGGTGCCAGGCCGAGCCGGGGCCAGGGGGACTCAGCGCTCGGGGTGTGAAGGGGAGGCCTGGCCCACACACCGTTCCTGTTCCCCGGGCCCCTGTGTGTCACCCCGCTTGGGACCTGGGGTTCTTGAAGACGGCGGCGATACGCATTATAGAGGAAGTTCAATCCCGTCTCTGCCCACCGCCCCTGCCCTCCCCCAGGTCACGGCAGGCCTGGCGGTGGAGAGGCCTAGAAAGGGTTCATCAAGAAATTAGGGTGCGGGGGAAAAAAAAAAAAGAAAAGAAAAGAAAAGAAATCAGGGTGCGGCCCTGACCAGTGTGACTCAGTGGATGGAGCGTCGGCCTGTGGACTGAAAGGTCCCAGGTTCAATTCCGGTCAAGGGCATGTTCTTGGTTGCAGGCACATCCCCAGTAGGAGGTGTGCTGGAGGCAGCTGGTCGATGTTTCTCTCTCATCGATGTTTCTAACTCTCTTTCCTTTTCCCTTTTTCTCTGTAAAAAAATCAATAAAATATTAAAAAGAAAAAAAAGAAAGAAACAGGGCAGGCGCCCGCTCGGCTCTCTGGAGCGCGTCCTCTGAGGGCTCCCGGCCCCGGGCAAGGAACGCTCTCCCCACTAAGGTCACCCAGCGGCAGGACCTGCCATTCCGCCCGCACTGTGTGTTGTAAAGTCCATTTTTGATGATGTGAATAATTGACGAATGTGCTCCTTCCTGAGACAGTCACACGGGTGAGGCTCACGTCCTCCCCAGCCCCCAGCTCTCCCGGCACCGCCCTGACGATGCCCGTCTCCCACCCCCTCCGGGCTCCTGACCCCCCTGCCTGCTGAGACAGCGCTTCCAGCCCCTGCACATTAACCAGCGCGGGCCTGGCCGGTGGGGCGGTGGGTGGGGGTACAGCAGCGGCCGCGCACTGACCCTCGGTGAGCAGGGAGGGCCTGCGCTTTGCTCGTATGCAGGTCAAGGTTACGTGTTTGGGGTGGAGGTGGGGGGTGGGGAGTGTCTGGAAGTGCAGCTCCCTAAGTGGGCAGAGCAGGTGAGAACAGGACGTGGGAGGCAGGAATCTTAGGAAAGCTAAGCTCCCAGGGAGTCACCGGGAGCCTGGCCTCAGAGACAGAGGCTGGGGAGGAGCTGGTGTAGGCCCAGAATTTCCAGAGCGGATGCCCTGGCCGGTTTGGCTCGGTGAATGGAGTGTCAGCCTGCGGACTGAGGGGTTCCAGGTTCGATTCCGGTCAAGGACATGTATCTTGGTTGCGGGCACATCACCAGTAGAGGGTGTGCAGGTGGCAGCTGATCGATGTTTCTCTTTCATCAATGTTTCAAACTCTATCCCTCTCCCTTCCTCTCTGTAAAAAATCAATAAAATGTATTTAAAAGGAGAAAAAAAAAAATTTCCAGCTCAGATCCCCAGGGTGGAGCGTGCAGGAGGCAGCCAATCAACAGATCAATGAGTCTCATCATTGATGTTTCCCTCTCTCTCTCTCTTCCTTCCTCTCTGAAGTCAATGTAAACATAACCCATCCTGTGTTAAGCATTCATTCATTCTCCAGCAACGTGTAGAGCGGCTGCTGGGAGCGCTCAGAGGGGCGGTCATGCAGGACACGCGCTGCCCCAGCCGTTCCCGAGCTCCCACCGAGGAGGACCGTAAACCAGAGAACAGTGACTGAGCAGGATCATGTCCGATGCCGGGGAGGAGATACACAGGGGCCGGAGGTGGGGGAGAGCCCCGACGGCGGGACCAGAAGAAGCCCGACCACGTGCTCCGCCAGGTGCGGGACCCCCCACCTTCCACCCGCTTCCAGGCTGTGGGCATCCTCCGAGCTGCCCACACGGAGCTCCCCGTTCGGAAGGGGAAAGGGTGGCCGTCCGGCCCCAGACTCCTCCCCGCCGCCGGCCACCTGGATGATGAAACCGGTGGAGGCTGCACCTCCTTCCAGGGGTGGCGGGGTGGCGGGGAGTTTGCGGGAGACGCGCCTCCAGGGAGAATCCGCAAACAGCTCTGCATTCACAGAAGTTTGAGACGTGCCGAGCCCCGGCTAAACCCCCCTCCCCGGGGGCTGAGCCAGACCCCGACTCCCGCCCGCCCAGCCCGGGACGGAGCCAGACTCCGGTGCCCGCCTCCTCCCCGCCCCGCCCCGCCAGGCAGGCCAGCGCGGGGCACGATGGGACTTGTAGTCCACCCAGTCCCCACACCGGCTCCAGAAATACCCCGGGGAACTACAAAGCCCAGGGGTCAGCGGGCGGCCGGGGCGGGCTCGCGGCTGTGGGTGTGCGAGCGCAGGGACCTGGCCGGGCGGCGCGGGCGCCGGGATGCGGGAGCGGACGGCGGAGCCCGGGAGCGGCGGGAGGCTCGCGCGCTAGCGGGGCGGCCGGGCGGCGACGCGCACGGTGCGGGCCCGCCCTGGGCACGGCCTCCGCGGCCCCGACGGCGCCGCGCTCCGGCCCCGCGGCCGCGCGTGGGGGGTCCGGTCGCCGGGGGATGGGCGCCCGGTCCCGGAGCCCGGCGGGTGGCGGTCGCCCGGCCGGGCTGGGGGGCGGGAGCCCGGGTGCCGGCCGTGGGCTGTGAGCCGCGTGGTTTTTAATTCTTTTTCTTTTTCGTTTTGTGCCAAAGGTGTCCCTGCGCGGGAGCGCGATGCAGCGAGCGGCGGCGGCGTGGGTGCGGCGGGGCTGCTGCCCCGGGACCCGGGGCCCCTGGCGCCGCGGCCGGAGCAGCGCGGCCGCCGAGGCCCCGGCGGTGCTCCCGGGGCGGCCCGAGCGGGCCCCGCGCGAGCGCATCCTGACGCCCGAGTCCATGAACCCGCGGGTGAGGGCGGTGGAGTACGCGGTGCGGGGCCCCATCGTGCTCAAGGCGGGCGAGATCGAGCTGGAGCTGCAGCGGGTGAGCGTGCGCGGGGCCGGGGCGCGGGGCTGGGGCGCGGGACGCGGGGCCGGGGGGCGCGGGGCCGGCGGGCGCGATGGGGGCGCAGAGCCGCCGTCCTCCGCCGGGTCCGCGCGCCCCACTCCCCTCCTCCCCCCGAGGCGGCTCCTGCTTCGGTCCAGCTGGACCCGAAAGGACCTGCCTTCCTCCCACCCTCTCACCCCCAGTGCCCGTGCTCCGCACAGCACGGCCCTCCCGGGGTTCGGGTCACTTGTTGAGCCGCGGGGTGCCTGGCGCTGCAAGTTGGGGGGCTGCCTTCCTTCCTCGCCCGGAATCCGGACCCTTGGGGGCGGGGGGGGGGGGAGATAAAGAGACAACCAGCAGCAACGGGAGGTCAGAGTGCAGGGCCTGAGTCAGTGGAGGGCCCGATGGGGTGCTGGGTGGAGGTGGGGGGAGGCGATCGCTGGGGAGGGGTCCGGCTTGTGCCCCAAGCCTGCGCTCTCCATGTCTGAGACCTTTGGGGTCCTTCCCTAGTGAGCCCCAGGCAAGAGCAGGCCGGAGGGGGCCCTGCCTGGTCCAGGTCCAGGGCGCACACACACACACACACACACACACACCCGCCCCCTCTGGGACCTTGATCTGCAGCCACAGTCGGTTCTCTGTCCGAGGACAGCCGCCCCTGTGAGTGGCCGCGCAGTCAGGATGGGCCCTCGGGCGTTGGTCGGGACTTTCTTGGTGGGATCCTGGCTGAGTTCACAGCAGAGTTCACAGCTGCGAATCAGGAGGGCTTTCTGCACCGGGACAGCCAGGTGGCTGGCAGGGGCTGGAGGTGCCACCGTGAAGTGGCGTCTGGAGGGGCATGGCACAGGGTGAGCGCCAGGGTTAGAGCTTAGAGAGTTGGACAGGAGAGTTCTGGCCCCGAGTGGGGGCGGGGAGGTGCCTGGATCTTGCTCTCAGAGGCCCCAGATCACTCACTGTCCCAGGGCAGGCAGGGGCCGTGACGGCCGTGGCACTCGGTCCTCATTCCGATGGGGCCCCTCGGGGCTGGAGGAGCTCCCGGCCTGCAGACACCTCGCTCGGGACACCCCGTTCTGCTGACTCAAAACCGAGAGCAGGACCGGCCGGCGTCAGCGGCTCCCGCTGGCTCCCTGCGGGGCCAAGTGTGAAGCTGGCTCCGAGGCTGGCGGTCTGATTTCTGGCCCCGAGGTGGCCGGCCGGGCGGGGCTGGCGGGGCAGGGTGGGGCCCTGCCCTGCCCCTGGCTGATACCTGGCAAGCAGAGTGATAACCATCTCCCTGTCATCACAAAGCAGAGGTTACCTGGTTCAAGTTTATCGCTTTCCTTATCGCTTTCCTGGAAGCTGATTTCTCTGCTCCCAGAGCTGGCTGGGGCAGGGTTATCTCTGCATTTCGCTAAACGCCAGCCTGGGTGTCGCCGAGGAGCACGAGGACTGGCTGGGATTCTGCCTTTGCCTCCCCACGGCTGGGGCTGGCTGCTCTGTGCCGGGGCCTGAGCCCCTCCCCAGTCCTTAGGGGGCGGTGGGACTTCTCAGCAGCCAGAGCAGACGTGAGCTAGGGGCTGTGAGCGGCGCCTGGCGGAGGTGGGGCCTGGGCAGGTGGGGAGCAGGGGGTGCTGGTTGGAGAGTCGCTGGGCAGAGGGAGACGGGAGGGACGGAGACGTGTGAGCTGGGCTCGGGCTGTCACGTGCGAGGTTTGGGGGTGAAGGTGAGGGACCCCGAAGGGCCCTCGGCGGGGTGGGGCGCGATGGTGGCAGGTAGACGTTTCTTGGCCACTTGAGTCGGAAACACGCTATGATTAAGGTGACTGGACGCCCCGATTTTCAACCATTTGTCCCCGCGCCCCACTGCGTTTAAAAAAAGTCCCGATTATTTCCAAAATTGTTAAAAATCGAGGGACAAATTGTTAAAAATCAGGACATCTGCCAAAACTGGTGTGACTCAGTGGATAGAGCGTCGGCCTGGGGACTGAAGGGTCCCAGGTTCGATTCCGGTCAGGGGCATGTACCTTGGTTGCGGGCACATTCCCGGTGGGAGGTGTGCAGGAGGCAGCTGATCGATGTTTCTCTCTCATCGGTGTTTCTAACTCTATCCCTCTCCCTTCCTCTCTGTAAAAAATCAATAAAAATATTTAAAAAAAAAATCGAGACGTCTGGCCACCTTGGCTGATGTCTGGGACAGACGCCCCTCGCCCCACGCCCTGCCTCTGTGTGAACTGAGCCGTCCTTTTTGTCCTCCTGCGGTGTCCAGTGCCCTCTCTTTTGTTGGGTCCCAGGCGCCTGTGCTGTTGGTGCTGGTGAGAGAGCCAGCCGGCCAGCACAGCCCGTCCCCTCCCCCCACCCCCACCCCCACCCCCACCCCTCGCCCCAGAGACAGTCTCTGCATTGTGCCGGCTTCAGCGGTGCCTCAGCCCTGGGTTCCCCGCCTTTTTTGGGGGGTGGGGGGAGGTGGGTGGCTTGGCCCAGCTCGGTGGTGAAAGCTGGACTGGTTCTAAGTGGGCCCCTCGGTTCTGGACGGGACGGGCAGGGGTGTGGCCGGGGGAGGCCTGGGGTGAGCCAGCCTCCAGGCTTTTTCTGCCCAGGCCTCTCGCTGTCCGGTCTCCAGGTGCTCTGCAAACAGGAGCGGCCTCGCTGGCCATGGGGCTCGTGTTTGGCTTTGGGGTGGCTCCCCTGGAGTCCTGTCCTTCCCGCTCCTGTGCTGGGCCTGGAGCTGGGCCTGGAGCGCTCCAGGGCGGGGCGGGGGCGGGGGCCGGGGGCGTGCCCTGCAGGGAGGGAGCCTTCTCCTGCCCCTCCGTGTGGGGCTTTTGTTCCTTCCTTCCTCTTGGCCCGGCAGCCTCCGGTGCGTGTTCACTTTAAAAGCTGCGGGAGCGGGATGGGAGCCGGGCTCAGACCCATCAGCCCTGTCCCTCCCTGTCCTTCCTGCTCGGTGCTGGGCCCTGAGAGCCGGGAGTGGTTTAAGTCAGCAGCTGGGGCCGAGCACCCCTCGCTGGAGGGAAGTGTGGCCTCTGCTGTCCACATCAGGCTGTGAGGTCACTGCTGTCCACATCAGGGTGAGAGCAGGTAACGGAGGCCCCGGGCTGTGCCTGGAAGCCGGGGGCAGGGCACAGGTGGTGAAATCGATGGGTCATTTCCTTTCCAGTTAGCAGCTCCTTTAAAAGAGAGAAACTCGGCCCTGGCCGGCCGGTGTGGCTCAGTGGATAGAGCCTTGGCCTGTGGACTGAAGGGCCCTGGGTTCAATTCCAGGCTCAGTCCCTGGTCCCAGTTGGGGCACATGTCTCTCTCACATCAGTGTTTCTCCCTCCCCCTCCCCCGCCCTCTCTAAAAGCCAAGAGGGAAATGCCCTCCGGGGAGGATTAACAAAAAATAAAGAAATCTGTGATGTAGGACTCACCGAAGGCCCAGGAGGCGGGGTGGGCAGAGTCCTCCCAGAACCGCGTCCTTGGCTGGGCATGCCCCCAGCTCATCCATCGCGGTCCGGGACCTTGAAAGGAGGTGCTCGGTGTTCCCAGGCCCGCGATTGGCGGAGCTCGCAGGCCGGCCGGGCCCGGCTCCAGGCATTATCCTCCCACAGGGCTGGCGGGGCGCCCGCAGCTGCGCTGCCTCCCGGCCGGAGCGTGGCTCCTCCGAGGGAACGGGCCGGCCAGCCGTGGGCATCACCTGCGTTCAGGGCCCGGCCTGGGGGCTGGGCGATTCGGCGCTGACCGAGGGCCGTGCTGGGAGCCCAGGCCTGTGCCCAGGGATGTGTCAGGCCCGCCCCTGTGTCCGTGGCCTCGGCCATCCCATCCCCAGCCTCTGGGCTCCCGCCTGCGCCTGCGAGAGGAGCCCTGAGGCCACACGCCCACAGCCCGTCTTCGGGCGCCTCTCACCCAGTCCCCGTGGCCCAGTGCCGTGGCCCAGTCCCCGTGGCCCAGTCCCGGAGCGGGGGCAGCGCCACGCCCGCTGGCCCTGGGGACACTGCCTCCTCCATGCCCCGGCACTCTCCGGGCTGGCCAGCCCCGAGGGCTTGCAGAAAGGGGGGGTAAGGAGGCCTCTTTCCCCCCAGAAACGTGGCCTTTGGGGACGGGCCAGGCCCTGCTTGTGAAGGTCATTTCTGGGGTGCCCTCCTCACGGTCCCCCCTCCAGAAGCCCCTGGAGGATTTCTGGGGGAGGAGGGCCGGAACACTTGCCTGGCAGCTGCTTTATCCCATAAGCCCCCAGCTTTCTGCGTCAGGTGCATATTACTGACTGAAAAGGGGACAGCTTTGCCGGCCGGCGTGGCTCCGTGCTTGCATGTGGACCTAGGAACCAGGAGGGCAGGGTTCGATTCTCGGGTCCTGAGCGGCCGGCGGGCTCCTCCGCTCTGAGCTCTGTGCTCTGGCCGGCCCTGGTGTTCTCCGCCGGCCTTTTCTTCCCAACACTGTGCTCCTCCTGTGAAATCAGCCCTCCTCCTCCTCCTGCAGAGCCAGGGCTGCGGGAGTGACCCTGAGTGCCCCCTGCTGACGGCTCTTCGGGGAGGGCGGTGACTGGGCTGTCCAGGCCGAGCTGCCCTGGGGGCGGGGGGAGGCGGGGGCAGGGGTTGGGGGGCCTCCCTCCCCCCACTCCCTGTGACCTTGGCCTCGCTCGGCCCCGTGTGCCCAGGACCCTCATTCAGACACGGCTCTGAGGCCGCCCAGGGCTGTGGCTGCAGCTGGGCCCGGGGCCCTGGAACAGGACGGTCCTTGTGGCCTTCGGGGAGGTGGGGTGGCGGGGAGGTGGAGCGGGTGGGCGGGCGGGTAAGAATGCTGTGGCTCTGGCTGCAGGCCCAGCGCTGTGTGTGTGTGTGTGTGTGTGTGTGTGTGTGTGTGTGGCCTCGGGGCCGTGTCTGCAGCCTTTGAAGTCTCCATCCACGTCTTAAAGTGAGATTAATGCTAATTATGCCAGTACCGGTGTGTCTCCGTGGTTAGAGCGTTGGTCTGCGGACTGAAGGGTCCCGGGTTCGATTCCGGTCAAGGGCATGTGCCTTGGTTGCGGGCACATCCCCAGTGAGGGTTGTGCAGGAGGCAGCTGATGTTTCTCTCTCATCGATGTTTCTAGCTCTCTATCCCTCTCCCTTCCTTTCTGTGGAAAATCAATAGTACATATATTTTTAAATGCTAATTCTGCCTCACGGGCTGGGGGATGGGTCGGTGGGACCCGGTGGGTCCCAGGCTTGGCAGGTGCCGGACACCGGGTGAGGCTGGCAGGGCGCTGCCGGTCTCTGTCCGTGGGACCCTCGCGCGGCCTCGGGAATCCAGCGTCCGAGAGGCGCCTGAAACCAGCTGCCACCCTCTGTGTGCTCAGGGCATCAAGAAGCCGTTCACTGAGGTCATCCGAGCCAACATCGGGGACGCCCAGGCCATGGGCCAGCAGCCCATCACCTTCCTCCGGCAGGTGAGGGGCCTGGGAGGGCGGGCTGGCCGTCCCCTCTCACCTCTCTCTCACCTCTCACCTCTGCCCCCTCCCCGCCGGGCCAGCCCCTCAGGGCGAGGCAGGCACCCCAATCCCAGTGCTCGCTCGCTCGCTGTCTCCCTCAGCCCCTGGCCCTTGCAAAACCGTCTGAAATTCCCCAGCCCATGGGTAAGGTGACCAGACAGTCCCGATTTTTAACCATTTGCCCCGAGGCGTTTTAAAAAAGTTGGGACTTTAAAAGGCCTCGGCACAAATGGTTAAAAATCGGGGCTGTCCCGCCAAAAGCGGGACGTCTGGTCACCTTACCCATGAGGGGTGGGGGGTTTCCCGGTGGACCGGCTCCGGGGCGGCTGTGCCTCAGGGTGGGGTCCGGGTGGCTGAGTTTGAGCCTCCTTGTCCCCACCATTCCTCTGGGGAGGCCCCGGTCACCGAGCACCCCTCCCTCGGAGCCCACGGCCTCGGAGTGGTCCTGACGAGCTTGTTGGTGCCCCCCCCCGGCTCTCTGGGGTGGGGGTGTGTGTGCAGGAGCCCAGCCTGTGCCTCTGTCTCCCAGGTGATGGCGCTGTGCACCTACCCCAACCTGCTGGACAGCCCCAGCTTCCCGGAAGACGCCAAGAAGCGAGCCCGGCGGATCCTGCAGGCCTGCGGAGGGAACAGCCTGGGTGAGGGCACCTGGCCCGGAGGGCGGGGGCAGTGAGCGAGCCGATGGTCGTGCGCGGGTGTGAGCGTGCGGGTGGCTGGGTCCTCGGTGGTCCGGTGTGAGGGCAATGGGGTACATCTTTTTGTAAAAAGCCACGTCCCGCGTGATTCGAGGTTTGGGATCTGGAGCGGGCAAATGATGAGACGGGAAATAGTAATTTGGAAATGGGGGCCGGGCGGAGAGCCCAGCAAGGGGAGGGCTTCGCCGGTGCCCAGGCCCTGCCAGCCTCGTGTTCCATTCTGGAAGCACGTCCAGCCCTTAGGCAGGCAGTTCCGGTGGCAGACAGAGGTAGAGGTCAGTAAATATTAGTAAAGGTTTCCTCGGAGACTGTGTGGTCAGGAAACGGCTGGAGCCACCATGGTCTCCTCTAAACAAACCGTCTCTGGTGCAGCATCCCGGCTGTTTACAGTTTCTGATCTTTCTGATCGGAGGACAATGGGGTTCTGCCAGCACAGGCATGTGGTGGACGGGAGGCTGGAGGCTGGATTTGGGGTTGGTCTTGGGAGCCCACGTGGGCACGGCCCTCCGTCAGCCGAGGGTTGAACCTGAGGCCAGGGAGGCGGAGTGGAGGCTCCAGCCCCCTGCTCGCCGCCCCAGCTCACCCGCTGGGCCTGGGGCTGAGGTCCATCCTTAGGGAAGGATGGTGCTGCACAGGCCCCGCCCCCTTTGGGCAGCTTCTGTGGGTCTGACAGTCCCCCTCTCCCCCTCGCTGTTCCATCCCTGGCCTGAGAGCCTCTCTGCTGGGAGCCAGGCCCTGCCCAGCCCAGCCCAGCCCTGCCTGCCGCCCCCAGAGCCAGACCCCCCAGAGCCAGGCCCCCCAGAGCCAGGCCCCCCCAGAGCCAGGCCCCCCAGAGCCAGGCCCCCCAGAGCCAGGCCCCCCAGAGCCGGGCCCCCCCAGAGCCAGGCCCCCCAGAGCCGGGCCCCCCCAGAGCCGGGCCCCCCCAGAGCCAGGCCCCCCCAGAGCCAGGCCCCCCAGAGCCAGGCCCCCCCAGAGCCAGGCCCCCCCAGAGCCAGGCCCCCCCAGAGCCAGGCCCCCCAGAGCCAGGCCCCCCCAGAGCCAGGCCCCCCAGAGCCGGGCCCCCCCAGAGCCAGGCCCCCCAGAGCCGGGCCCCCCCAGAGCCAGGCCCCCCAGAGCCAGGCCCCCCCAGAGCCAGGCCCCCCAGAGCCGGGCCCCCCCAGAGCCAGGCCCCCCAGAGCCGGGCCCCCCCCAGAGCCAGGCCCCCCCAGAGCCAGGCCCCCCAGAGCCAGGCCCCTCAGAGCCAGGCCCCCCCAGAGCCAGGCCCCCCCAGAGCCAGGCCCCCCAGAGCCAGGCCCCCCAGAGCCAGGCCCCCCCAGAGCCAGGTCCCCCCAGAGCCAGGCCCCCCCAGAGCCAGGCCCCCCAGAGCCAGGCCCCCCAGAGCCAGGCCCGGGAGGTGAAGTGAAAATGACCTCCTCTCTCCCTTCCTCTGGAGCCGGGACTCCGGCCTTGAGGCCTCTGCTCTCGGTGTCTCCGGTGGTTTTTCTGTTTAGTTTTGCTCTTTCCTTGCCCAGCAAGGGGGATCGGCTTCCCTCTGTAGACCCCGGGGGGTGGGGCGCCGTTGTTTTCAGAGCTTTTGTAGGCTGCACGCCCGATTGTTCCGGAACGCGGGGCAGGGATGCTCGCACTGCCCAGCAGGGGCTCAGGGCCCGGGCCTCTGTCCTCTGCCCGCCCTCCGCGCCCCTGGGCTGTCCCTCCGGCTGTCCTGAGAGGGCCCTCGGGTGCGGGTGTGGGTGGGGGCGGGGGCGGGTGCTCTGGCCGGGAGGTTCGGGAGAGGGGGCCGTGTCCTGTGAGGCGCTGGTGGGACGTGGCCGACTGGCGGTCACTGTCGCTGGGTGTCTCTCAGGCTCCTACAGCGCCAGCCAGGGCGTGAACTGCATCCGGGAGGACGTGGCCGCCTACATCGCCCGGCGCGACGGCGGGGTGCCCGCCGACCCCGACAACATCTACCTGACCACCGGCGCCAGCGACGGCATCACGGTGCGGCAGGCAGCAGGGCCGGGGGCCGCGCCCGGGGGTGGGGGTGGGGGGCGCAGAGGGGGAGGGGGGGCCGCGCCCGGGGGGGGGGCAGAGGGGGGGGGGGCCGCGCGGAGCCTCCGCCGCAGGCAGCCTGGGAGGGAGCTGGGCCCGGGGGCTGCGGGCCTCACCTCGTCCGCCCTCCGGAGCCCGCGGGGCGGCAGCCTGGGTGTCCCCCGAGCGCACAGCTGCAGGGGCCGGGGGAGGCGCCCGCGTTCCTGCCACCGGCCGCTCTCCTCTGCCGGCCGGTGCTGGGAACCGGCCCCGCGCAGACCCATTTCACAGACGTCAGTGAGGCCGGGAAGCGGGGTGCCCCGCCCCTGGGGTCGTAGCGCGGCTCCCGGGCCTGGGCGGCCGGGTGGGGCCTCCGGCGCCGGTGCCGGCGCCGGTGCCGTCCGCGGCCGGGCCCATACCGCGCCACCTGCTCCCGCAGACGATCCTGAAGATCCTGGTTTCCGGGGGCGGCAAGTCGCGGACGGGGGTGCTGATCCCCATCCCCCAGTACCCCCTCTACTCGGCCGTCCTCTCGGAGCTGGGCGCCGTGCAGGTCAACTACTACCTGGACGAGGACAACTGCTGGGCCCTGGACGTGCAGGAGCTGCGGCGGGCCGTGCGGGAGGCCAAGGAGCACTGCGACCCCAAGGTGCTGTGCATCATCAACCCCGGGAACCCCACAGGTGTGCTCCCGCTTCCTGCGGGGCGGGGCGGGGCGGGGCGGGGCGGGGCGGGCGGGGCGGGGCGGGGGCGGGGCTGGGGCACAGGCGTCTGGGCGCCGCCAGTTACCGTATTTTTCGGACCATAAGACGCACCAGTTTTTAGAGAAGGGAATGAAGAAAAAAAGATTCTGAAACAAATAGTGTCCTAAAATATTTTATGTGCATTAAAACCCAACATCACAGTCATAAACACATGTAATCAACCCTGTAAAGTAAACAGCAGCATTTAGAACCATTTTAGAGCCGGGCAAGCACACAGAGACCACACAGAGCCGGGCAAGTAAAAAAAACTTTTTTTTTTAAAGTATATGTGGAGGCTATATTTGGACCATAAGACGCAGGGACTTTTTCCCCCCACTTCTGCGGGGGGGGGGGGGGGGGAAAGTGCGTCTTATGGTCCGAAAAATACAGTAAGTCCCCTTTGCTCTTGCTTTCCCAATCGTATTTCCCAGTCCACCTCCCAGCCCCGTCCAGTCGGGATTCGCAGTGTGAACGTTTACGGGCAGTTTGCCTTCTTCTCCTGGGCAGGCTGTGCTCTCGCTCAGACCAGTTTTCCTCCCTCCTGTCCTCGCTTTTGCAATCCCCTCCTCAGGGTCCCAGGCCGCAGCCATTCATCCTGGGCCTCGGGCTGTTGTTCTGAAAAGCCCTGTGTGTGTGTGTGTGTGTGTGTGTGTGTGGGGGGGTGTTTTGTGTTTCTTGGAGGAGCCAGACCGAGAGGCCCGAGCAGGAAATGCCACATAAAAACAAAAGCAGGAACTGCCTGCACCAGCTGAAAACCATTCCTCATTTTGCTTATTTTTCTTAAAAAGCAAAAAGCACAGTCCCGCCCGGTTTGGTCTCCGGGCTGCTGGCTTCGCAGGCCCCGTGCGATTAGGATGCCGCCGGGTGCCGTGAGCAAGGGCGCCCTCTCCTGGGAGGAGGGGAGCCGGGACAGGGCCCAGGAGGGCGCCGTGGAGCTGCGCTCTGGGAGCAGCCCTCCGTCCTGGCGGTACCTCGGAGTCACCAAGGGAGCCTTTCAGCAAGGCCAGGCCAGGCTGCACCCCGGAGCCTGGCGGGCATCTGCATTCTGAGCAGCGGCTCCAGGGAACCAGCCACTGGCCCCACTCCCAGACGCTCCGCTGTGATTGGAGCCTCAGGGGTGCTGCCCCACCGCCCCCTGCATCCCAGAACCCTGCGCTCGCTTCCAGGCGGCTGGCGGCCTTGCCTGGTGGGACCCTGGCTGGTCCCTCAGCCCAGGAGCTGCCTCAGTGCTTAGTCCCGCGGTCGGCAGACTGCGGCTCGCGAGTCACCTGCGCCTCTTCTGGCCCCGTGAGTGCGGCTCTTCCACAAAATCCCTTGGCCTGGGCGAGTCTATGTTGAAGAAGTGGCGTTAGAAGAAGTCTGTTTAAAAAATTTCGCTCTCAAAAGAAGTTTCAATCGTCCTGTTGGAATCTGGCTCTGTGGACGGATGAGTTTGCCGACCGCGGGCCTAGACAGTTCAAGGCCAGGTACCAGCTGATCATCATGAGGTTCCGTCTGTACCGTTTCAGACGTGTTCTTGATGCTCTAGCATAGATGAGAGGATGGGTGTTTTTATTTGTGACAAAAGGGTAACTAATCGGCGTACTGGTTTGCATCAGATACCTGTGTACATACAAGTAATGCCTGTGCGCACACACTGAGTGGCCGGATGATGGTGATCTCTGAGCACACAATAATCTGGCCACTCGGAGTGTGTGTGTGTGTGTGTGTGTGTGTGTGTGTGTTGGAGGCCCAGTGCATGAATTCGTGCATGGGTGGGGTCCAGCCAGCCTGGCCAGGGGGAGGGGACATGGGCGGTTGGCCGGCCTGCCTGCTGGTTGAACTCCTGGTCGAGGGGACAATTTGCATATTAGCCTTTTATTCTCTAGGACAGACACGGAGTGGCCAGGTGACTGTGCGTGCAGAGACCGCAGTAACCGGCCACTCCGTGTTTATCTGTGTGATACCCCGTCAGGCACACACGGGGAGGGGCGGCGCCCGCGTCCCTGGGGCTCCTTACCTGGGACTCACAGCTCGGCCTGTTCTGTGGGTCCCAGGCCAAGTGCAGAGCAGGAAGTGCATCGAGGACGTGATCCACCTGGCGTGGGAGGAGAAGCTGTTCCTCCTGGCGGACGAGGTACAGCGGCCGCGGGCGGCCGGGCGGGCGGGCGGGCGGGTGGGGGCGGGGCCGTCCAGGCTGGCCGAGCTTCTTGGCCGTTGGAGGGGGGAGGCCTCGCTCTGAGACTGTGGCCTGAGCCATCCCAAACTGCCGGGCCGGCCCCGCCTCGCCGCCGTCGTGCGGTGGGAAGGTCTGGAGGCCGGGTGGGGTTCGTGCGGGCGGCCTCCGCTCCCAGAAGGCCCCGTGAGCAGCCCGCCGCCCGCCCGCCCGCCGCCCGCAGGTGTACCAGGACAACGTGTACTCCGCCAACTGCACCTTCCACTCCTTCAAGAAGGTGCTGTGGGAGCTGGGCCCCGAGTACTCCAGCAACGTGGAGCTCGCCTCCTTCCACTCCACCTCCAAGGGCTACATGGGCGAGTAGGTGTCCCCTCACCCCGCCTTCCGCTGCCCGCCCCCGGCCGGCCCTGCTGCTGCCCAGACGCCCGACGGGCCGCACGCCCGGAGCTGGTCGGGGGCAGCCTGGTGCGGGGTGTCCCTGGCGGCCAGGCCGTGCGGGACGCCCCGTGTGCTCGCGGGGGGCGCCCGGTCCGGGCTCAGCGGGAGCGTCCGCCAGGGGTTCGGAGGGCGTGGGGGGCCGGGGCGTCCCGCGTGGGGACGCCCCGGAAGCTTCCGGCCGGCGGACGGCACTCAGCGCGCCTCCGCCCCCTCCCCCAGGTGCGGCTACCGGGGCGGCTACATGGAGGTGGTCAACCTGCACCCCGAGATCAAAGGGCAGCTGGTGAAGCTGCTGTCCGTGCGCCTGTGCCCGCCCGTGTCGGGGCAGGCGGCCATGGACATCGTGGTGAACCCGCCGCGGCCCGGCGAGGAGTCCTTCGCGCAGTTCGTCCGGGTGAGGCCGGGCCGGGCGCTCCCGGGGGCTCGTGTGGTCCCTCCGGGCGGGAGCACCGCAGGAGGCGGGGCGGAGGGGCGGGGCGGGGCGGGGCGAGCGTTGGGGTGGGTGCGGCCCTCCCTCCTCTCCCTCCCCCGTGGGCCCCGCCGAGGGGCACCCAGAGAGAAGGCCATGTGTCTTGGGCACCCCAGGGGGGTGTTCCTGAACTCCCAGGGGAGCGGGGAACAGCACTGATTCCAGGCCCCGGGCCTGCCTCTGGCCTCATCAGACATCTCAGCTTAACGCGGGCCATTCGGACCCTTTTTAAAAATACTTATTTTCATTGATGTCGGAGAGGAAGGGAGAGGGGGAGAGAGACATCCATGATGAGAGAGAGAATCGTGGGCCGGCCGCCTCCTGCGCGCCCCGCACTGGGGATGGAGCCGCACCCCGGCCTGCCCCCTGACCGGGCATCGGACCGCGGCGCCCGCCGGCCGGCCGGGCGGTCAGACCCTTTCGACAGCAGACACACCCGGCGGGACTCAGCAGGCGGGCTCGCCCTCGAGGCGTCCGCGGGGCCGTCGGGGTGACATGCTGACCGCTCTGTCCCGCAGGAGAAGGAGGCCGTGCTGAGCAACCTGGCCGAGAAGGCGAAGCTGACGGAAGACCTGCTCAACCAGGTCCCGGGCATCCGCTGCAACCCGCTGCAGGGCGCCATGTACGCCTTCCCCCGCCTCCTCCTGCCCCCGAAGGCCGTGGAGGCCGCGCAGGTGGGTGCTGGGGGCGGGGGGGGGGGCTCCCCGGCTCCCGGGCCTGCGGGCCATGGGCCCGGGGGGTGCAGGCCACCCCGAGGCCCAGCCCTGCTGGCCGTGCTGATGGCGGCGGGCGACCTGGGCCCGTGGCGCTGGGGCCTGAGCAGGGCTCGCGCGTCCCCTCTCCCGGCCACCTGCCCCAGAGCTTCCCTCCGCGAACTTGGGGTTCAGGAAGCCCGGAGGGTCCGAGACCCGCTTCTAACAGTTTCCACGGACCCTGCTTGGAGGATCAAGTGCTTCCACCCTCAGACCCCCCCCAGGCCCATCCCCTGCGCCAGCCACGGACACCGGCGTCCGGCGGGTCCTCGGAGGGAGGGGGGAGGGAGGGGGGAGGGGGAGGGGGAGGGAGGGAGGGCAGGGGGGAGGGGGGCGGGGGGCGGGCCTGGCCCCGGGAAGGAACTGGTTCTGCTGTGTGTGCGGGGTTGGGGGGCTGCTTGTGTGAAGCGTGTGACCGAGGCCGCTGTCCCCCAGGCCCACGGCATGGCGCCCGACATGTTCTACTGCATGAGGCTGCTGGAGGAGACGGGCATCTGCGTGGTGCCCGGCAGCGGCTTCGGGCAGCGGGAGGGCACCTACCACTTCAGGTACCGCCCCCGGCTCTCGCAGGAGCCTGGCCCGGGCGCCCAGCGGGGCTGGCGAAGGACCGAGACGCGTGCAGCCGCCTCCCTGGGCTGCCCCTCTGCCCCCCCAGAGCCCCCGGTCCCCCCGAGCCCCCGGCCCCGTAGGGTACCCCCTGGCCCCCCCGCTCCCCGGCCCCGTGCTCCCGGGCTGCCCGCCCCGGCCGGGCTGACCCTGCTCCCCCCCAGGATCACCATCCTGCCGCCCGTGGAGAAGCTGAAGACGGTGCTGCAGAGGGTGAAGGACTTCCACGTCCAGTTCCTCGAGGAGTTCGCCTGAGGCCCCGCCGCCTCCTGGACGCCCCCGAGCCCCTCCGAGCGACCTGCCTCCGGCCTGCGGGGCCCGGTCCCTCCTCGCCGTCCAGCCCCCATCCTTTGTGCCTTGCGTGGGAGCCCGTCTCCCAGCCCACGTGAATGGGGTGTCCCAGAGGCCCTGTTTTTCTTCTCGTTTCTGATGCAACCAAAGTCGCGGGGACGTGGCCCGCCTGTGGGGGGCGCCGTCTGGACCTGCTGCCGCCCGTCAGGGTGGAAAGCGGGCGGGGTCAGAGGCTGTCTGAGGGACGAGAGGCTGGAAATGCAGGGCTTCCCCTGGAGCGGACTGGGCATCCCGGCGCCACGCGATCTGTGAAATAAAACCCTTGGTGCAGAACCCAGCCTCCCGCGGGGCGCCCCCTTCTGGCCGGAGGCAGACGGTGCGTCTCGCTGCAGGCGAGCAGGGGCCCCGGGGATGGATGCCAGGCCCTGGTGGTGGGTCCTTTTCCTCGTGTCCTGCAGGGGACGAGGGGGTGTGAGCCGGGCGACCAGCTCCCAGGCAGCAAGGACTCTGCCCCCACGAGGCTCTGGGGGTGGCGGGTTGGCGGGGACCCGGGCCCGTCGTGTGTGGGGCGTCTGCCTGGCGATGCCAGAGGCTCCGTCCTGCTTTTCCACAAAGGCCCTCGCCCAGGGCTCCGCGGAGCCGTGGCACACACCGCCCTCTGCTGGCGAGAGCAGGAATTGCGACCCTGACGGTCCTGGAGCCCGAGGGGCCTCCCCGCGGACGGGACAGTCACCTTCCCCACCGTGTCCGCCGAGTCCGCGCCAACCGCGTCGGCCCGTTTCCTGCCCATGAGCTGGCCGAGGCGCCCGGCGGCACTGCGGTGGCCACGTGCGGCCGATGGGAAGTGCGCACACGTGGTTCCCTTCGAGCAGCGTTGGCCTCCGCCTGCTGCTGGCTGCCGCCCTCCCAGACCGCCAGGCTCCCGCAGCCTCTGCACGTCCCAGCCGGGGTGGGCACCCCCCTGGCCGCCGCGCCCTGGCTTAGCACACCGGCCGGGCCCCGCCGCCCTCCGGAGAGCGGGAGCAGGTGTGCCCCCCCCAGCGGGCAGTCAGGGAGCCCAAGGCCAGCACGGGGGTCTGGGGCCCAGCGAGTCCCCAGGTGGAGAGGAAGCAGCTGGGCTGAGAAGCAGTGAGCTGGGAAAGCAGCCTCCCGGCTCCAGTTTCCGACGGGGTGCGCCCGCGAACTCCCAGCGGCCCCCCGGCCGGCGGCCCCGTCCCCGAGAGAGAGGCAGCCGCGGCCTCGAGGGGCCGGATCTGGGACTGCGCCGTCCTTAGGAGACGGGCCCTGGTGCCGGGCGGGCCCTGGCGGGGTCCGTCGGCGGGATGCGCCCGCGGCGCTGAGCAGAGCAGAGGGAGTCTATTTTTTGTATTTTTGTAACAACTGCTTTTTTCATGGGCGGAGGGTGGGTGGGTATTTGTAGTCCTAACAAGTCCAGCAGTGTTTTTATAAATGTCTCTGCGGATGCTAAGTAACCCCGGAGTTCTCGCAGTGTTGGCTGCATCCACGGGGACTGCAGGCCCAGCGGGGGGCGCTGGCCACGCGAGAGCCCCGCCCACAGCCTCCGTTCCCGTGTCTGGGCACCGTCGGAGGGAGACATCGGCCCCTTGGGGTCACCATAAACACACCCGAGAGGGTTTGTGCATTTAGACCCGCCAGTGGGGCCCAGGGTTGTGGATGTGTGTGCTGGTGGGGCGGCAGGCCTGTCTGCCCAGGTTCCCATTTGGATTCCTACAGGCGGCTCCGAGAAGGCACTGAGGATGAGCGCTCTGCTGGGAATTTCACAATAAAACACTTGGTGTCCAAAACGGTCCCCGGCGTCCCTGTCCTTGTTGAGGTTTCACACTCCGTGTTTGCAGCGTGTTTGTGGCACAGAGAGCGTCTCCTCCAGAGGCCGAGGCCAGGGGCACGTAGAGGTTCGTCTGTTATTTGACTTTTGCGTATATTTTCATCATAACATTTAATATATTTTATCTTTTTTTTTTTACAGAGAGGAAGGGGCAGGGATAGAGAGTTAAACATCGATGAGAGAGAATCATCGATCAGCTGCCTCCTGCACACCTCCACTGGGGATGTAACCAAGGTACATCCCCTTGTCCGGAATCAAACCCGGGACCTTTCAGTCCCCAGGCTGATGCTCTATCCACTGAGCCACACCAGCCAGGGCTCCTCATGAAAACAGTTAAACAACCACAAACCTTGAACGCAGGGACATGGTTATTTTTTACCCGGTGTGCCTGCTCTCAGCACCTCGAGGCAGGCGTGTCTTAAACGCGCAGCACGCGGATGCGTGGTTTCACATGCCAAAGCACGTCACAGCACGGTGCCAGCTACGTACCGGCATCAGGGGACACGACGAGAAGGAACGGGGTGTGTGTCCAGGTAGCAGCTCCTTCCTCACGGTCGCCGCTCCTCTCCGCGAACGTTCTCCTGCGGATCTTGTGCGCAGCCATCCCATCCCTACGAGGAAGGGAGTTCCCAGATGAAAAGATGTCCAAGCACCAATGGATTCCCAGCAGCAGTCACTTATTCACTTATTGTAATTTCGTTTCCTCTTCATTGATTTTAGAGAGAGGAAGGAAGAGGGAGAGAGGAACTTTGACTTACTATTCCCCTTAATTACACACTCAACTGATTCTTGTCTGCCCTGACCGGGGATCGAACCTGCAACCGTGGTGTATCGGCACTGAGCTCCCTGGCCGGGGCGTGGCAGGGTTTCACTGAAGAGCAAACACTCGCACGGTGTTCAGCTTTGCCATGAGACCTGGACACAGCTCCTAAGCGATGCTGGCCCCGTGCCTCTCGCTGAGACGGGCGGTGTGGGCTAACTAGCCATGCACGGGCGCAATGATAGAGCCCAGACTGCACTGCGGTGGGCGGGGAGCGTGGGCGTGCACATGTGTGCGACAGGAGGCCCCGCTTCGCTCGGCTTGCCGGCTGCCTTACTGGCCGGGCAGGTTTTCGGGGTGAAGCCATCCTTCCCGGTACGTTCTCGCTGTGTGTGCAGCCTGGTGGTGATCTGGGCCGTGACGGCTCTGAGAGCGGTGACTCCGCCCTGGGTGCAGGGAAGGAAAGGGAGGTACTGAACGGCTGACCTGTCCCAGAGGTGGCCTCAGGTCGCTGCTGCCCCACCTTCGTCAGGAAGGGCCCCTCGAACAGCCTCCCAACATTCCTGCTGCTCAGATGGCAGTGGGGCCCGGCCAGCGAGGCTCAGTGGTTGAGGGTGGACCCATGAACCAGGAGGTCACGGATCGATTCCCAGTCAGGGAACAGGCCCAGGTTGTGGGCTTGATCCCCAGTGGGGGGTGTGCAGGAGGCAGCTGATCAATGGTCCTCTCTCACTGATGTTTCTCTCCCTCTCTCTTCCTCTCTGAAATAGTTAAAAATACTACACACACACATACACACACACTAAGTGGCCAGATGATGATGATCTCTGAATGCATAATAATCTGGCCACTCAGTGAACATCCTACATAATAAAAGGCTAATATGCAAAATGTCCCCTTGATCAGGAGTTCTACCAGCAGACAGGCCGGACAACCATCCATGTCCCCTCCTGCTGGCCAGGAGCACAAATTCATGCACTGGGCCTCTAATACCTCTAGTATATATACACACACACACACACACACAGAGTGGCCATATTATGTGTAGAGAGACGATAATCTGGCCACTCAGCATGTACATAAAGATGGCCATGGGAAAGAAGCCCCGACCCCTGCTGACAATGGATGTCTCTCAAACACCCAAGACGTGCCCCTTCCAAGGCAAGGCCTCTGCATCAAGCAAGTCAAACTCTGGGACCACAGGCCGCGCCTCCTTCACTCGGCCTGGGTTAGCCTGTGAATGTGACGTGCTTGCTTTTCGTGGAAACGCGGGCACTGAGGTGAGGTCCGGTGAGCTGGGCCGGCGACGGGGTCCAGGGTGGCCGACGGGCACCCGGCCTCGGAGCTCCCGGGCCTCGTGCTGGAAGCGGAGGAGCAGCTCTCCCGGGGCTGCTGGCGGGCCGGGGGGCATGTCCTCCACGAGGGTGGGCCTCGGGGTTGGACCTGACCTGGGCCCCTTTCTCCCCCGCCTCCTGGCCCGTGGCTGCTCTGGAAGCTTCTGGCCGCACCCTTGCCTGTGAGCCGGGGCGCTGGCTGGGCGGGGCGGTGACGCGGGAACACGGCGCACTCAGCTGCCGGGCTGGCCACTCCTCGGCGGCTGCTGCGGAGGTGGAGGCCGGTCACCGGCGTGGCTGTCTCACAAACACAAACACAAACACAAACACGGGCTGGGTGTGATCAGCACCTGGGACAGAACCTGATGGGCAGCTGAACAGGATTGGACATGAACCATATCCTCTGGTTTGTAAATCCCGACATCCTGGACATTAGCGATGGTTTTGTGGCTCTTCACAGGCAAGCATAACGATGCACACCCTAAGGAGCTTCCTGTGGCGCCAGCCGCCTGGGCTCAGGGCCCGGCCCCTCCCCGGGGACAGGCTGAGCTCCCGGGGAAGCACCGCTGGTGGAAAGCTACTCCAGTGACACGGGGCTGGTCCGGCCACAGCGTTTGGGGAAAGTGCTTACTGTGGTGCCAAAAGCACAAGGAGCAAAAGAAATAAAACCGACACATTAGATCTCAACAATTTTAAAAACGTGTGTGCTTTAAGACCCACAGAATGGGAGAAATATTTGCAAATCAAACAGATGCTGCGCTAGCCAGTTTGGCTCGGTGGATAGAGCGTCAGCCTGCGGACTGAAAGGTCCCAGGTTCGATTCCGGCCAAGGGCACATGCCTGGGTTGTGGGCTCAATCCCCAGGGATGTGCAGGAAGCAAACAATCAATGATTCTCTCTCATCATTGATGTTTCTCTCTCTCTCCCTCTGAAACCAAATATATATATATAAACATGATAAGAATGGTGATGAAAATTAGGAAATATATACAGCTCTGGCCAGTGTGGTTCAGTGGGTAGTGTTGGCCCACAGACTGAAGGGCTGTGGGTTGTTCTGGTCAAGGGCAGGGTACCTGGGTTGCAGGCTTGACCCCCGGCCCCAGTCAGGGTGTGTGCAGGAGGCAACCAATCGATGTGTCTTTCTCCCTTCCCCTTCCATTCTCTGTAAAAACCAACAGGAAAAATCTCCTCGGGTGAGGACTAACAGCTAACAACATTTAAAAAGGTGGCAGCCGAAACCAATGTGGCTCAGTGGATAGAGCATCGGTCTGCGGACTGAAGGGTCCCGGGTTCGATTCCGGCCAACAGCATGTACCTTAGTTGCGGGCACATCCCCAGTAGGGGGTGTGCAAGAGGCAGCTGGTCGATGTTTCTCTCTCATCAATGTTTCTAGCTCTCTCTCTCTCTCCCTTCCTCTCTGAAAAAAATCAATAAAATATATAAAGAATTCCAAATTTATTAAAAAAAAAAATAAAATAAACAAAAAGGTGGCAGACGATACTCAGCACTGCACGCCAGTCCACGGTTGTTCTCCCCGTGGCGGGGCCACCGATTCTCTCACGCGACCTGGACTGCAGGGCTGCCGGGCAGGTGCCGGGCAGGGTTCTCGGTGTCTCACTGCAGCGGCTGCTGACCTGGCCGGCGGGCGAGGGCCTCGCAGGAGCGTTCCACGCCAGCCCTGACAGCGTCCTCAGCCCCGTTCAGGTCTCCACCCGGCCCGAGGGCATGCCAGCCAGGCGGTGCCCACGCAGGGAAGGCCAGACACAACACAGCACCCGCGGCGGAGCGAGGGGACACGGAGACGCCGGGTGGCTGGTACACGCGTGGCGTGTGGGCGCGGCGCGTCATTCATCACCAGGCGGATGCAGACCCCGGCCCCTCCCCCACCGCGAAGGCTGTCCACGGCGGGTCTGCGCGGGCAGGTGAGGAAAAGGAATTCTCTCCGCCGCCGCTGGTAGGATCATCCGGTGGGACAGCCTTCTGGAAGTCTGGCAAAGGGTTAGACGGTTACCGGGGGAACAGTCACTTCACTCCTCAGGATCTACCCGGAACTGGACAGGCGCCCACACAAAACCCTGTGAAGTTCACAGCGTGATCCAGTGGGAAACCCGTGTCCACCGGCGCCGAGTGGTGAGCAGGCGTGTGCGTGCCTGTGCCAGGAGCGTGGCCTGGCAGTACAAAGGCAGGACTGTGCGCTCAGGGATGAGCCCTGGACGCGGACGAGGTTAGAACCCCATTGGAGCCCCGGCCACTTTCACGGTGGTCAGCGCGCCAGCCGTGGACGGATGGGTCCCAGGTTCGTCCCCCGTCCGCTGGGACTAGTGCGGAAGGCAGTCACACCGGTGCTCCTCTCTCCTCTCTCCCTCCCTCTCTCTACAGACTAATGGGAAACATCCTTAGATGAGGACCTAAGAAACAAGTCCCATTTCATACCACCAGGTAAAGCCGGCCACGCCGGGGACAGACACCGGATGACTACACCGGAGGCAGGGCCAGAGCGCGCATGCTAACCGTTTCTCTCCGGGGTGGAATGTTCTGGGGGGAGAGCGGCGAAGGCTGCCCAGTCCCGAACGTCCTAAGCCCCCGCCCCGAGTGCACCCCTTCCGAGGCCTAGCGAGCGGTGCACACGGCCTCACTTCCGACGGCAGTCGCTGCGGCCGTGCTGCAGGCCTCCTCTCCCACAGCTCTGCACACGCAACGAGGCCGCGGGAAGTGACGGATCCGAACGCGCCTGCGCCCCCCCCCCCCCCCCCCCCCCCCGGGCTCGCTCAGAAACACCCGCACAGACGGACGGACACGCCGGACCAGCTCACAAACCTTTATTGGGAAGGCGGAACCACACACTGCGCTGCATTTCACG